CCCCCCCCCCCCCCCCCCCTATTCCACAGGCTTCTATACATAGGACTTCCGCCATCTTTTCAGAAAATGTGTATGTACCCTAAAGGAGGCTGAAAATGCAAAAAAAAAAACGATTTTGAAATTTTTGGACTTACGCCCGTATAATAGAAACCGATTCAATTATGAGTTCAAAAGCAGAAAAAAGAAGTTCCATACCGTCCGAAAGATATAATGACGAAAGAATGGATTCAAAAGACGACGGGTGCACGCGATAGAAAGTGTACCTACCTATTTATCTCTGATTGCAACATTAAGTATGCACCATTTTTATGTTTTATTTTTAATCAGTGCTTTTAAAAAGCTACATTCAGTTTTTCTGAAAGCTTTCCGCGACTTTCCCTGAATATAATCTGAAATTAAAGTATCGAAAATTTAGACGCGATATTTTCGTTCGCTCTATTTTCTACTCATGTAACCAAAAAAAAAAAAAANAAAAAAAAAAAAAAAAAAAAAAAAAAAAAAAAAAAAAAAAAAAAAAGTTAAATATTATCCGAGTTTCTAGATCGGTGCAATGAGGATCCATATTACCCCTTGAATTATGGTAAAAACCGGGCTAGAGAGTCAATAATGATGACACGTAGTCCTAGTTTTGCGGCGACTTAAGCGTCGCGCAAGCCAAGCGAAGGAACGCGGTGGAGTCATCTTCGCAGTGTGACGCGCTTTTAGTCCAGCTAGCGCCAATAGACCTATAGACTGATTTAAAGACTACGTCATTCGACATAACTAGGGGGCTATGCCCCCTGGCCGCTACGCGGCCCAACCCCCAGATCTCGCTTCGCTCTCTCTTGGGCCCGCGTCCTCAAAAGAACGACCAAAATAAATTAGATGATTTTCATACTCGACTCCCATTCATCCAATTTCCCTCTGGCCGGGAGCAATTGAACCAATAAGAATCGAATGAAAAAATCGGCATTTATTTCAAACTTCACGCCAAGACTGAAACAAAACGGAATGGAGCGTTACGTCGCTTTTGGATAGTCTGTAACAAAGGAGCATGTATGTATACCTTCGATTCACTTACCTTACTAACAGACCGAGCTTCAATATTTCCCACTTACTACAATTTTCCGCTAAATTTGAAATTCCCGCCATTTTTCATTGGCGGAAACTTCAAATTTTGCCCCCCTTTCTAAGCTTTCTGATCTCCTCCATTATAAAAAAAAACCTGGGTCCATATTCAAATTCTCATTACAGCGGGCTCATCTAAGGACTATCACCTGTCGATATAACCGCAAAAATCATGGAAATCGGCCCAGTAGAACGCTCAAACGAACTATGGCAAAAAATTAAAAATTACATCGTTTAAATGGGAGAATTCGCAGCTTTACCGCGTAATGTAAAAAAAAACCTGGGTCATATTTTCAAAATCGGAATAAAGCGGGCTTATCTAGAGATTATTGCTTGTCGATGGCCGCAAAAATCAAGAAAATTGGCCTGGTAGAACGCTGGAACTAAGCGTTTCCAGATTTGAAAATTTAGGAGGTCTCGGAGCTTGGGTATTATATGATGATATCGAGCTCTTGGTTCAAACCAAAACAAACTAACAGAACCTCATGTGCAAATTCATCATGAGTTAATTGTGTTAATTTATTAAAATTTAGCCATTGACCGGTCATAAATCAAACAAAGACTCATTAAATATGAGAACTTTCGATTGTAAGAAACACTTGGACGTATTTTACCACCATGGTGCAAACGGCGCGAATCAGAAACAAGGTTCTGTGTTTGTTTACACTTGAACCAAGGGTTCGAATGACGTAGCCACTAGGTAAATCAGTCTATACCCGTGGTCGAATACTTATCTCGTTTTGCCGGCTGTGAATGAAATTAAATATAGACGCCTGTTTAAGTGCTTTTACGGATTATTTCCCAATCGACGCTTAGGTTGCATTTCCCTGTCACTGACATAGACTTGACGCCGCTCGATGCGCCGCGCGGAGGGGTAGGGAGTAACATGCCTACGCCTTGCCGGACCCCAAGCTTCACACACGAATTCGTCTCCATGACTGAAAACATCAAAATTGCGAGACAACGACGCGCAGTAGAGCGAGCTAATGGGCAAAGGTGGACATGAAATTTGCAACTAAAACGGGCTAATTTTGATGTTTGATTCGTCTGGAGGATCAGTAGATGAGGTGCAATGAGGGATATTTAACGATAGGAACGTTCACAGACAGCAGGAAAATCTCCCCGATCCTCCGAGGATTCCAGGCTCGCTTTGTACCTGCACATTATTTCCACATCACCGCGCTGGTGGTGGGTCTGACACCAAGGAATTGCAACGATTAAAGCGCACACCGTGTTATGTGAGCAATGCGTGAAGTATTTCTACAGTCTTGTAGGCTCTAAAATGCGTTTCATGCAAAAACATTGAATCACGTAGACCGTGCATCCTGTGTCAAGGAAAGCGTCGTAACTTCTGAAAATTCGCATGGCGCACCGGACTTTGCATCGATTGTATCGATGTGTTCGTGTGTCCCAATTGCGCTAATCTGCGCATGCGCTGAGATAGAAAATTTCATGAAAAATAAGATTTTGAAATTTCACTTGAAATTTCATGAAAGAGGTGTGTGAAAAAACGGCCAAAAATGCCTCAAGGCATTTTCGAATTTTGATCACTTGGGGTGATACAGTAGCTTCAGAGACGCCCAAAACCGGTCGCCGTTTTGCTTAGAAGCGCCGGGTTGCGACGTTGCCATTTTTTAAAGTGGAAACCTTTAAAAATTCATATCTCCGCCGCATCTCAACCGATTTCAATGAACTTTTTTTTAAAATGCTCCTCTTAAATAGAGCTTTCTAGTGATGTATAGTTTTTTGGGGTTTACTTGGCTTTAAGGGGCACTTACGCGGTTTTAACAGTTTTTGATAGACACAAAAATTTAGTTTTTATTTTACCACGATCGTGGAATCGACGGAATCTAAACAAAAACCAGTCTAAATGAAAGTAAAGATTCTCACCTTCCTAACGAGCACAAGATCATCCCGGGGAAACGTTTAGTTCCCGAGATATGACCGCTCAAAGTTGGTCACATGCGCTTTTGCGCAATGTGAATGCGTCTTATCACTGAGTCATTCGCGAACTAGGGGTCCCTTATGTTCAATTTACGTTAAAATAATTACACAGAGCAGTAAGGTGTGCAACACGAGCCGTATTTTCACCTTCGGCTGCCGATGTGCGACGTTGCCATTTTTTGAAGTGAAAACTCTTAAAAATGCATAACTCCGCTGCATTTTAACTGATTTCAATGAACTTTTTTTTAAAATTTTCCTCTTAAATAGAGCTATCTAATGACATTTAGGTTTCTGGATTTTATTTACCTTGGGGAGGCACTTAGGTCGTTTATATGGTTATTTGCAGAGATTTTTCATACAGAAAATAGTGTTGCCATTTTTTTTTCTTTTTTTTCTTTTTTTCCCCGCGGGTTGTGGGAGGGTTTGAAATGGCAAAATTTAAAAGAAAGAACTTTTAGAAAAGGGATTCTTTTAATCACTATTCTTACGTGTACAAACATTGAAAGCGACGCTCTCATTGTACAAGAGAAGGTGGTGTTGCTAATTTACCGAGATTTTTGCATTATACTTTAAGGGATGGTAATCTTCCAATCTAGTTTGAATGTTTAAAAAATCGGGGGAAATACAGACCCTCTTCCGGGAAAAAGAAAAGAAAAAAGAAAAAAAAATAGCAACACTATTTTCTGTATGAGAAATCTCTGAAAATAACCATACAAACGACCTAAGTGCCTCCCCAAGGTGAATAAAATCCAGAAACCTAAAAGTCATTAGATAGCTCTATTGAAGAGGAAAATTTTAAAAAAAAAGTTCATTGAAATCTGTTAAAATGCAGCGGAGTTATGCATTTTTAAGAGTTTTCACTTCAAAAAATGGCAACGTCGCACATCGGCAGCCGAAGGTGAAAATACGGCTCGTGTTGCACACCTTACTGCTCTGTGTAATTATTTCAACGTAAATTGAACATAAGGGACCCCTAGTTCGCGAATGACTCAGTGATAAGACGCATTCACATTGCGCAAAAGCGCATGTGACCAACTTTGAGCGGTCATATCTCGGGAACTAAACGTTTCCCCGGGATGATCTTGTGCTCGTTAGGAAGGTGAGAATCTTTACTTTCATTTAGACTGGTTTTTGTTTAGATTCCGTCGATTCCACGATCGTGGTAAAATAAAAACTAAATTTTTGTGTCTATCAAAAACTGTTAAAACCGCGTAAGTGCCCCTTAAAGCCAAGTAAACCCCAAAAAACTATACATCACTAGAAAGCTCTATTTAAGAGGAGCATTTTAAAAAAAAGTTCATTGAAATCGGTTGAGATGCGGCGGAGATATGAATTTTTAAAGGTTTCCACTTTAAAAAATGGCAACGTCGCAACCCGGCGCTTCTAAGCAAAACGGCGACCGGTTTTGGGCGTCTCGGAAGCTACTGTATCACCCCAAATGATCAAAATTCATAAATGCCTTGAGGCATTTTTGGCCGTTTTTTCACACACCTCTTTCAATGAAACCGTGAAAAATTAAAATCTAAGCTTGATTTTCAGTACTTTTTTGATTCTAGTAATTTTTTCTGCCCGACTGCTTGCCACAACAAGACGAATATGCATAGGGAGTATTAGGGAGTCGTATCTCGTGCCCTCTTGCCGTCACGCAACAAAATGGCGGCTGAAATCGAAATGATTCAACCGTCGTTGGTTGTTTCGTCCGCATTCGTGCCATAGATTTTTGGTACTGTAGATTATTGCCGGTCAACTAAGACAAAATGATCATAAAATTCTTACCTTTACTTTTCGTTGTTCGTATTCTTTTGGCTCTAAACTTCATGTATTCACTGCGAAGAAAATGATTTTCAGTAAAAAAAAAAAAAAAAAAAAAAAAAAAAAAAAAAAAAAAAATTAAATAAAATAAAAAAAACCGTAGAAAAAACCAAAAAAATAAAAAACAGCAGAGATATGTACTCCAACGTTACATATGTACAATGCGCTGAGTACTGGACTCTTCATCTATAATTCTTGACATTTATCATATTTAAATGCAAATAAAGTTTAGAGCAATAGAAAAGAAAGGTACTTAGGTACATACTACTTATTCTAATCTTAGCGAAGAATTTTACCCACTGAAAAGAATAGCACAATCATGACTATTTTTTGAGGGACACAATTGTTTTATGATGCCATATTATTTATAGGAGAGTAACAAGACTAGCTAATCGGAAAGAAAGAAAAAACAGGCGTGAGGAACAATAAGAAAATGTATTATTATTAAATTTAGAAACATCAGTGAAGAAAAGGAATTAAGGGGCAAGTAAATCAATTTTTCAAAAAAATTGAAATTTATGAGGCCTTTTGAAATTTCACATGAAATTTGAAGGGCGAACTCAGGCACGCGGAGTAGCGGCTCCAGCGAATTTTTGTAGTATTGTGATGCTTTTTATCTCGGCTAATAATTAGTTCAGAAAAATGAAACATTGCTATTCGGTTGTAAAATTATATGTTCTAAAAATTTTCTTCTCGAAATTTTGTCTGAAAATGGGCTCTAAACAGGATATTCCTGAAAAACCAAGCGCGCGCATGAATTCTCCATTGCTTCTCTGCAGTATCTTCAAGTGCTTGGGACACACGCTCTCTCCCCTTCCCCGCCTGCCCATCATGGGGCTCCGAGAAACATACACACGCTTCGCCCGTACAAAACCAAGCCGGACGCACGATCCACGTGATTCAATATCTTTGGCTGCACGCCAATAACCTCGAGATTATGCTTTTAAATGCTTAGAATTTTCAGTATTACTACTACCAATCAAGAAGTATTATATTTCAGACACTTTTTGACCAGTTTCAGTGAGATTAAAGATGATAACTTTTTTTAAAAAAAAAATAAAATAAACAAAACTGAAGCCGCAAGTCTGACGGTAGAGTAAAGCGCCAAAAAGTTCCTGTCTAAGCAAAGTAACTTTGGGTGTTCTTAAATTCATTATAGGATGAGGTTCATGAATAACATTTTGACTGAATAGGATGATTGAAGAATGAATTGAATGATTGAATTGATGAAGAATGATTGAATGAAGATTTGAACAGGGCAGGTGGCACTAGAGTACCTATACATATAGGGAGAATATGGACATGTCGGAAATTTCGAGGTTAGGTGATGGAGCTCTTAGGGCCCAAAAGGGTAGGCAATCTATGAATTCAAATTATCCAGAGTGATTGATTATTACAGTTGTAAGGAACTGTCGTTGATGAAGCACGTATTTGACTTAGTTTAATTTCAAGTATCCCTTCTAGCGTGAAATTTCTCAGTAACTTTGCCTAACTCGCATTCCAATATTAACTTTCTCTTCCTCAAAATGCTTTCCTGGTTTTCTGTTTACCTTTGTGCTTTTAACTCTCCGGATTTTTTTAATCTTCATTGATCATCATACCTTCTGTCGCCACAGACTGCTGATTCTTCCGAAGATGAATCCGACGATGAGTCAGGAAGCTCGCCACAGCAGTGCAAAACACCAGTACCCACTGTAACGAAAGCTACATCAAGAAGATCATCAGCTTCCTCCGATGCAACAACTACCTCGCAATCAGGTAAAACCTGCGTTCTTCCAATTTAAAAGTCTCTAACGGTGTATCTTCAACTTATTCATTCATGTATTTATTTATCTTTTTACAGAATTCCTTATTTTCTTCACCGTGACGTTTGTTGTACTTAGTCCTAAGATCGTTTTCAGAAATTTTGTCGTTAGTGCCGGCTTGTCTCTGACGATTCTCACGAATTTTTTTGGCCAACCTTGTAATGGAATAAGTGGAAACATGCGCGCTTGAAAGAACAAATACCTAATTTATTTTAATAACAGATATATGGATGATATATTACTGTGTGTCTGGGAAGCAGAAATAAATTTTAGATTACGTTTTATATAGCCACAGCTTCTTTAGGCACGTGGCAAAATGCAACAAAAAATTTTGCATCTTGCCACAGATTCTAGGTGCTATGTGGCTAAACGAAACAAGAAAAATTAGTTTGGCAAAGTATGTTGCAGTTAGCCACATGACCAAAGGACAAAGTACGTGGGGTACACAAAAACACCCTGCACTTTTGGATTGGAAATTGCCGCTTTCAGGGATCATTTTTATGGTCATAAGAAGCCCTGTAGGGAAAAGGGGGAATGGGAAGGAAATAAACACAAATCTAGTTGAAACAGATAAGCGTGTATAAGCGGGAGAAGAACCAGGAGGACAGGTGATGGTGCGTAACCATACATACATGAGATATACAGGGTGTGGACAGAAGTCCCTTCCACCCCCTCTAAAATTTTACGTAATTAATATTTTGAAACGAAACTTTGGGCATGTTCATCGATCAATGTAAGCTACTTTTGGGGCCCCCAAAATTTTCGCCCCCCCCCCCAAACGTGGGGAGGGGCTGCGGACCCCAACTTTTTTTCCAAATAGCATCCCCTCCTTCGTGACACATCAATCGAAAGAAGATAAAAAAGAAAATTTTTGGCGCAAACCGCTTTTTAAAATCTTAATTTTTGACAAAATGGCGGCCGGTCAAAGTTCAAAATAGTGGAAATTTGACATCTCCGTTTTTTGACGGATTGGGACGAAAACTGGTATCCGAAGGTTTTTTGGGACGAGGAAAAGGATTCTGGCGTTGAAAGTTAACTAGTGCAACGGATATACTTGCGTTTTTCCTTCGAATTTTCCGGGTATTTTTCAAAGAACAGAAAATGTTCAAATTTCCAAAATTTACAACGACGAATAATTTTCAATCGGGTAAGGAAACAAACCTCCTATCGTGTTTTGTAGAAAGATCACTCTCTGACGTTTAAAATGATACTATAACCATTTTTGCGCAAAGATAAATAAATCCATGAGCTCAATTTTAAGCGCACACCCGTGACAAGCACTTTCCGTTGGTGGGCGTTTTGACCCGATTCGTCGCCGCGCCGCGAAAAATTATGAAAATAAAAATTGGTTTCAATACGAATGGTTGTTTATACTTTTTAATAATCTATTCTAGATCATCAATAAAATGTATTGCACTGCAGTAAAATAAAAATGAGAGGATAAATTACAATCTTTTTCGCTGAATTTGGTACTTAGGCCATTCCAAAGACTGGCTAACTGCAACCATTTTTGTTGCATTTTGCCACACTAATTTTTCTTATTTCATGTAGCCTCACAGCACGTAGAGTTTTTGGCAGTTTGCATCAATTTCTGTTGCAGTTCGCCACATGGCTAAATGAGCCGTGGCTAAATAAACAGATACCTCAATTTTAAATTCGCATTATTTAACAGCATTATTCCGTCCATCCAGTTTACTGTGGATAGGTAGAAAACAATGACATGTCAAACTTTCTAGACATGACTAGACATGTCTTTGTATCATGGAAACAAGAAGGTGATGTGTAAATGGTAGCAAAAAACAGCCTTTGTTCATTTTCTATCTGTTCAGCTCACATAATTTTAAAAGAAATTTGACCCTTAACTTAGCGCACCGCATAATTGGTCGATCGCACAGGAAGTTTCTCTTTCAAAAGATTAAGGCTAACCCTGATAATCTCAAAGAGAAAGTTCTATAGCACCGTATACATGACACTTTTACAGTATACTCATGGAAAACTGCTACTTATACCCAGAAACATTTGTCAAGAACATCTTTGAAAGAGTTTCAAGAAATATAGGTAAGGCCTCCCGATTTTAATAGGTACCACCTTCAAAGGGCTTACATCTCATTTAGCCACGGCTCGCGCCACCACGCAACAAACATTTTTGCATTTAGCCACAGCTTATTGATGCTGTGTGGCCAAATGTAGCGATTAAAAATGAGTGTGGCTAAAAGCAACAAATTTATTTGATTCTTAATTAAATTTTTAGAATGCGTCATTTGTTAACATTTTGCCTGAGAGACTGAGTATGATCATGCGCATGAAAAACGACGTTTTACGAGGAACTAAAACGAACCTCTAATTTAACCTAATCTAATCTAATATAACCTAACCTAACCTAACCTAACACGAAGGTCGCTTAATGTAATCATAAAGTCGCTAACGTCATCCTTAAGTCGCTAATGCACCCTAAAATCGATAATGTAATCATAAAGTCGCTAACGTCATCCGAAAGTCGCTAATGTGATAACAACGTCGTCAACGTCATCCAATAGTCGCTAACGTCGTCGCTGAAGTTGCTGACGTCATCATAAAGTCTGTGGCTAACTGCAACAAATTTTGTTGCGTGGCGCCACGCAAAAAAAAATTTTTCATTTAGCCACACTCATTTTGATTGTTACATTTAGCCACACTGCTCCTATAGGTTCTGTGTTGTGGCTAAATGTGACAATTTTTGTTGCGTGTCGCCACGAGCCGTGGCTAAGTTAACACAAGGTTGAAAATTTTGTGAGCAGTCCTTATGTGCCGTATCTTTCTGAGAATCTTTCAGGGATACTGAAAGACTATGGTTATCAGGTAGTTCATAAAAGGTATACCATATTGTTGCCTTTTGTCTAAGCTTAAAGCTGAAACTCCTAAGTTAAATGCAGCCGGGGTAGTTTATCATGTTCCTAGCAATTACTGTCATTCGGCGAACACAGGCCAGACCAGGAATAATTTATCCAAGTGCCTCAAGGGTCATAAATATGACTGAAAGGACGTTACTGCCCTACACATACACATGCAGGAGACGGGTCATGGATGTAATTTTGATGACGTTAAAATCTTATGTCATGATAAAAGAGATTTTCCCCGTGCTTTAAAAGAAATAATTGAAATCTTAAAATATGAGGGATAGGTGCGCAATGCTCGATCTGATGTAAGCAAACTTAGTTTCATCTACCACTCGTTTTTCTAAGTTGGGATCAATGTGCACCTACCGTGTGGCATTATGTGGCACCACGGAGAGTTGACTGGTCCTGGTCAAATTTTTTTTCTTGGTGAGGGTTGACTGTTCTTGGCCAATGTTGCTTCTTGAGGTTCTTATCAGTCCTAATTTTTGTCAGGGCTGATCACTCGGGTCTTTAAATGTAGTTGTATGTTTTTAGCTGTGTTTTTAATTTTTATTGTAACACTGCAGGCGTTAAAATTTTTCGATTCTAAAAATTTAAAAATTTTTTGAGAGAAGATATCATTACCTTTTTACTGATGTGCCTCATGGCCCTTGGTGATCCAAAATTGTGGGAGCCACGACCTCCCGAAAATTTTGGGGCTTCGGTGGGCCATAAGTCGAAAAGTTCAAATAGTGAGGGTATGATTTGACTTCAGATTTGGATTTTACACGAAAAGTTACGTTGAAATGTTATGGCGGGCGGCCTATTTGCTCCTTACTTTAGAATCCCACCCATTTCCCGTTATAAGAAGGTGTGTTTTTTTGGAGCGCAAAAGCGGCAAAAAAATTTTGGGCAAATATGGGCCGTGATCCATATCAATTTTACGTAACTATTCGCGTAGAATCCAAATTAAAAGTTAAATCAAACACAGGCTATTTAAAATTTTCGACTTGCAGCCCTCTAAAGCACCAAAACTTTGGGGGGGGGGGTCGCGGCCCCCATAATTTTGGCTCAACAGGGGTCATTTGGCACATTAATAAAAGTGTATTGACTATGTATTTATTGCTCTTCTCTTAGAAAATTTTTAGATTTTAAAAATCGGATAATTTTAACGACTGCAGCGTTTCATTGACATTTGCCCAAAAATGGCCCCTAAATGACCCGTAACTCCAAAAAAATGGGGAATTAGGGGAAAAAAGCGTAGCACAAAAAGTTTTTATTTCGGCCGTAGAATTTAAACCCAAAGTCAAAACATACACTTAATATTTGAAATATGCGAGAAACGGGTGGCACTAGGACGAATCAAAAGGCCTGGATACTCGCTCAACTTTCCATCCATTTCCGATCAAATGGTGACTGGCGCGCACCATCTACCATCAATTTTTTGCTCCCTGCAAAAATTTGATGGTAGATGATGGAATAGTGGGTCTCATCCATCCTCTGATTTCCACACAGCCTTGCTTATTTCATGCTTATTTCAATCAACACGCCGTTTTAATTCATTTTATCAATCAATCTAGATAACTCTCCGACCGCCATTTTTGTCATCATTTTGGTCGGAAATTGACGGAAATTTGAGCGTGTATCCAAGCCCAAGAAAACGACGACTTTCGAATTTGAAAATTGTATAGGGGGGGGGGGGAGTTGCGCCTAGGTATCCAACTAAAGTGTCCCAAAGCATTCTTCGAAAAACAATTTTTGCAGGTGTCGCTTTTGCAATTCGTGTCAAAAAATCACACATTTCAAGCTGTTTTATCGCACTTTTTAAGCAAGATAGAAATTGACTGGAGCCTTCATTTTCGGAATATCAACTCACGTTTAGTAGTCCTTTAAAGTAGGTATACTAATTAGTATGAGGATCAAAATATTTTTTGTGCCCCCATATGCCCTTGAAAATGCAAAAAACACAATTGCGGCCGGTAACGAATCGTACATGTCAACGATTTTATTGATTGTTTTAGGTGACTTCACAACCACGTAAAAAGTCAATTTTTGGTTTAAAGGAACCATTTATATAAGTACTTGGGGGAAAATATTAGTGTTTTGGATGCGGGTGGTTTTCCTCCTATTTGCAAGCTCACGGTTTGGCCGAATCGCTCGATTTGGTCGAAATCACAGCGATTTTCGCCATTAACTTAGCTCAAATACGTAAACAAAAGAATAAAAATATTTACGGTTTTTAAAGTGACGAATGGGAGTCAAGAGTCCACTTCTTGCCTGTGTGGAGGTAAAAACAGAAACGTTTTACGGGATTTTATTCTGCCATGAAAAGAATCTCTGAAAATTGAGGGCCAAAATTTTGCGTGGTTGCCAAGTCATTCAACAACATTGGCCAAAAAAAGCTGAAAAGCCGATGAAAATCGTGTTTTTCTAAGTTGGTAAGAAATTCACGGAGGTATAAAAACATTCCCTGGCAAAATAATTATTATATCCTCATATTCTACTATAAAAAGAGTCTTCGAACATCGAAGGGTTGTTTTTTTACATACTTGGCAAGATGGACAAAAAAAAAATGGAGGAAATCGCTGTGATTTCGACCAAATCGAGCGATTCGGCCTAACTGTGAGCTTGCAAATAGAGGGAAAACCGCCCGCATCCGAAAAACTAATATTTTGCCCTGAGCACCTATATAAATGGTTCCCAAAAACCAAATTGACTTTCTGCTTGGTTGCGAAGTCATCTAGAACAATCAATAAAATCGTTGACATCTACGATTTATAACCGGCCGTAATTGTGTTTTTTTACTTTCTCGCTCCCCTAGGGTAGAGAGGAAGTATTGTCATCCTCCAAGGAAAAAAAAAAAAAAAAAGTTGAAATTTCATCATTTCTAGACGTTTTAAGGTCCCAGGAGTCAAAATAACCATACTTGAAAAAATGTGTGTCCGTCCGTCCGACGTCCCCCAAATCTGTCTACAGCGATATCTCAGAATCTATCTGTTCGATTTCATTCAAAATTCTCACAGAACACCATATTTATGGTCTCCTTATGCACGTCCAACGATTTTGGGGTACGCTAAAATTTGGGGGGGCTAGGGTCAAATTGGGTTAAAGGTCCATTTTCAGCAAAATCACACGGAAAGCTCATTTTGAGGGACCGTAAATTTTGAAAAATGCCTTTAATTCTTTAAAAGTGGGCATCAAGCACATCACCTGGGTCATTAATTTAAGTTCCTAAAAGATCTTTGGACTAAACTCAAAATTCAAGGGATTACGAGGCCCAAAAGTAGGGCACTTTGCTCCGCGACATCACACAAACAACTCATTTTCAAAGACTGTAAATTTGAAAAAAAATGCCTTTCATTTCTTCGAAAGTTGGCATAAGAGCACCACCTGGTTCAATAATGTAAGTTCCTATGAGGTCTTTGGACTAAACTAAAAATTGAAGGGTTACGCGTCATATAGCGAGGAGAGCACTTCGGTCACACGGAGAGCTCATGGACTGTAGATTTTGAAAAAATGCCTTTAATTCTTTGAAAGTTGGCTCAAAAGCACCATCTGAGTCATTAATTTAAGTTCCTAAAGGATTCTTGGACTAATCTCATAATTGCAGAGGGGCCGATAGGAAACGCTCAATTCTCTGATAAATGAGTCGGAACGCTTCTAGATAATAGCAGCAAACGCTTTGAGTCAGGTGAAACCTAGGAATTCAAATGCATTATATAATGCATCATATACTATTTCCAAAATTACTCCGTAGGTATACACCAAGCAAAATTAGACAACTAATTAGGTAGGTACTTACAATATATAGTTACTATGAGTTATCAAGCTGACAGAAGAACTGACACTTACATCTTTATTAAATACTAATAGGTTTGTTGTTAATGAATTTAGAATCCCGGCAGATTCCATCTTTCGCGGTTCCTTTTTACGAGGTACTAAGCACAAATATAATATAATAATACGGCACAAATATGACTGATTTAATGCTTGTTACTTAATAAAGGAGGTTATAAATTGTTAGAACCCGAGGTTTGTTGACAGCAGCGAGGAGATGGCGCTCTCAGCGCTCTCTATTGTTTTCGCTTTGAATTACAGGGATACGCAGTAAGGAGATGGCGCTCCTGGCGGGCGTGTGGTGAACCTTCCAGCAGGTAGATTCGCCCGCCAAATTTAAAATTTGGGAGATGCTAAGCGAAAACCGTTTAGTTTTAAGACTATTTGAACATCGAATAGTCATTCTACCCATTCAAGTAGATATTTGATGGCTTTTGACCGTGCTTAAGGAGAGATTATAATATAAAATCGTATCTGAAGTATGATGTCAATGAATCTAATGGATCCTAATGAATCGTAGAAAAGCTAAGATTTTTACGGATCGCCATCTTTGACAGGAGACTTTGTTAATCAATTACATATTTAATTGAAGATGCCTCATAAAATCAACAAGTCGAGTCCGAATATATGAATTCATCACATATCGCGAAGACATTTACAATAAAGTTCAGTGGTTTGAATAAAAATTTCATAACTATTATCCTGTGATCAAAATTCCAATCAAACTTTATGATTTTGTAAAATTGGCAGTATTTTTCTAAATATTCCAGTAAAAGCGTCTATGCCGGCGCGAAGCGCCGGCTCGAGCGAGAAAGTCCCGTGCGGTCCCCGCACCAATCCGCTAAGCGGATGGGGGGGCGAAGCCCCCCAAATGCCGGCGCGTAGCGCCGGTACGCGGCGCGAAGCGCCGCGCATAAATTGGCCGGAGGCCAATTTTTTTTTTGCATTTTAAGGGCATGTGGGGGCAAAAAAATATATTGATCCACACTTTAACTAGCATACCTTAAAGAACTACTAAAAAAAGTTGATATTCCAAAAATGAAGGCTCTAGCCAATTTCCATCTTGCTTGAACAAAGCGATAAAATCGCAAAAACAACTTGAAATAAGTGATTTTTTGACACAAATTGCAAAAGTGGCACCTGCAAAAAATGTTTAATTTTTTTAAAACTTTTACTTTGATACCGAGGTGCAACTCCCCACCATACAATTTTGAAATTCGAAAGTCGATGTTTTTTGACTCACCCTAGGAATCACTTCTCTTGAAACCCCCCAAAGAGAGGGAGGGGGCTGAGAATATTTTCATTGAATTCTTTGGGGTTGATTTATCCCAAAAACATTTCGCCCGGAAGGTCAATTTCGGGCCGTTTCCGAGAAAAAGATAGTAGGCGGGTGCTCCGGAACACTCTATATAAAGAGAGAGAAGGTATGGTAGCCCGGAACACGATAGTAACACTACAATGAACAGTGGGAAACAAGGCTATGTCCGAATAATTTTCTTGTGCTTTTGCTATTTATACATATACATTTTTGGTGTCCGAAAAGTCCACTTACGTCAAAGGCGTCTTGGTTGCTCCATTTCCAAGATAGCGAGCAAAAACGGTTTAAGGTAATGGACATGGTCATGCTGGCTTTTTTTTTTTAAACTATTATCTTTAAGGACTCAACCCACATTCCGGTATCCAGACCCAATACCTGGCATTACTGCACATTGAAAATTGAGATTTTCGTCTACTGTGTTGCAACACGCCACAAGAATTCTTTCCAAATCTTTCTGTCAAGTTTTTCTGGTTCTTGATTTTTATATCTCATTCCGGATCTATCTTCAGTCTTTGGTTTGCTCGAATTCCCACTTCTATAATACTTATTATGCACGTATTCGCGCTCCGATGCGTTCTTGTCCTGCAGTGAACGTTTCCTCGCATTGACGCGTAGGTGCCGCCCGCGTCTAAATCCAAAATTCGCAACGGAATGATACCATCGCACCAAAATCAACATAGTCAACGTTAACCTGCGTCAATTCACATTTTTCTGGTCGATTTTAGCAAAACCCATTCAATTCATATTACTCTGTGAAATCTCAGAATGCCGTCCACCCCCTCCTTAAGTATATCCCTTTTTATGCCATTTTACGATACAACCCACCCCTCTTTCCCTAAATTCATTCATATTCCAGACACGATCTGGCAGTAAAAGTGTGTTAACCTCCCATTTTTACCGTACAAATGCATTAAGACGTCATTCGGCCTAGAGTCATTCTTTTTGGAGAATCGAGTGTTTTGGAGGGAGACCTTTGTCTGTTTGCGTCATTTTTCGAGTAAGTACCGTTTTTCGCAGTTGTGTGATAGTGGTGTTAAAACTACTGGGTTACCCAGGTGGAGTGATGAAGAAAGGAGGGCGATCCGCGAGCGCGGATTCATCAACGTCATCCGAGTCATCAACGGGCTCTCACTCGGCTCTGAAGAATACTGGCGCCGTCTTTACGACAGAAGAACGTAAACAACAGTTCCTGGCCAGAAGCCGAAAGGAGCAAGAACGAGACCGAGAATGCTCCCGGAAGACTTTAGCTGACACCTCCGACTCAACGGACATTGCGGCGTCCGTGCCGGGGCCTACCCACATGCCACGACTCAGAGCTTCCTCCCAAAAAGACTCCGTGCCAACCACGCCTACCTTAACCCAGAAATGGTTCCAAAATCGTTTAATAGGAGGTAACTTTTCATATCCTAGCCTTCTGCTCTTTCAAACCGTTTCCGCTCTTTGCGTTGTTCTCTTCGTCTTCCGTGATTTTGCTTGAAAATCATGCTTCAAATCCCTGCTTCAGTAGGGCTGAATAGAGGTTTGAGCGCAGCTGTTGCCAGATGGTGCAAAAATTAAATCTTAAAATATTAGTTCGACCTGGCTACACCGCATTTTACATCGTTGCCCAAGGGTGCAAAAAGGTAAGAAGAAATTCTATTTTTGGTTCGACCTGGCAATAACACTCTTTATAGCGTTGTCAGATGGTGCAAAAAGTAAAAGATTAAGGTGTTTCCATCTGGTAACATCGACCAATCGGTACATTGATCTTGGTCTTAGTGTCGTCTGATGGTGCAAAAATTAAATATGTATATTGTTGGTGCATACTGGGAAGCTGTCGCGCACGGGAGCCACTGTGCAGTCAACAGCGCTGCGGCTGAAGGGTGAAGTGGCTGGATGCAAACAGGAACCTTGCGCTCTGTAGCTGATGAGCTAAGCGCCTTACAGGTCTTGGTCCCAGATGCGGTAACTACGTCTGATACGATAATTATGTCCTCTTAATAATTCGAGTGGACCTGGAATTATCAAGAAAAGGTATTTCCTCTAAGCTGTAGCAGCTGTGCGGGGGGCACACTTACCGAGCATGAGAAGGCTACAGTGCAGGTGTACTCTGGATCACAGCTCTCATGGTCCGCGCCGCTGGGAGGTCGTTTTAATCGGACGATGAGAAAAAGCGACTGAGCGCATAAAACTGGATGCGTTAACGAACCCGTTCAAAGCTGGCCGAAAAACTGGCAGTTGCGAGTTTTTTGGTTCCGCTTTGGTGTTTGTCAAATAGGTTTTTACTGTCGATGTCACTCCAACAGATCGCATGCTATCGACTTCCGTTCGGTTCACCTTGTATTACATAGGTACGGTCAAAAATGTGCAGTGGAAAACTGGTTGGCTAAATAGCCAACCAGGTACGGTAAATTTACATAAATTTGGGAGCGAACGCGTCAATGTGGCGTCCACGCACCCCGTTCACGTATCCGCCGTTGGCGATGCTGCATTCCTCGTATATCGTGTTGAAAGTTGAGATGTTCACTTGACAGTCAGCTTTGTGCCACTCGTTCGGTGACGGGAGATGCGGTTTCGATCCCAGCACTTAAGGGATAATACCGGACTCGCGGAAAACAATCCATTACTATGATTTGATGCTGATTTTGAGCTTACTGCTGTTCAGATACCTAGGAAATTCATATCGGAGTTCTCGGAGTAGACACAGATAGAACAGTCTATTCGTTTGGTCAATGTTCAGGGTGGAATAATAAGTTCCGAAACCAGTGAAACCGATCTCGCAAGGTCCGTACTCAAGAGGTCTAGGTAGCAAAAACTTTAGCTTGTTGCTCCTACCCGCCAACGCAAGCGCGTGACACCTTTTATTTGTCTTCATTTTTTTCGATGACTGTATACATTTGTGTGCGGTTCGTACGAGCGATTCCAAACATCATTTCTTGCAGACGCGGGAGTTGAAATTGTGTTCGCTATCGTAATTGTATCAAATCGTCGTCATCGTCGACGTCAAGGTTGAGCTACCATGTGAGGTAGAATGTACCGCGTGATCTTAGCAGCAGGGTAGCAGATTAACCCTTTGTTGCACGAATTAATTTTGGATCACCTATTTTGATGAAAAAAATATATGTGGTAGGTTATGGAAAAAAATTGGACACGTCTTTTGCCGTTTTTGAAAATTTTGACCTTTTGACCTTTTTTGGGGCACAAAACCAAATGTTGCCAAACGGCATCACCGAACACTTTGAGAATTTTCAAAAAAAATTGAAAGACTTGGAGGTGGAAAATTTTGAGCTAATAAATTGGAGTTTTAATTTAGAATGATAAAAGAAAGAATAAGTATAAGAAATCGTAGGTAAAATTGAATGCTACGGCTTTCCGGGGAGGAAAAACTCTTGCGTTTCCAAGCGTGCCAAAAAATTAGACCTAGGTCAAAGGTCCGACCAAAATATTTAGTTTTAAAAAAATTAATTAAAGTTTAAATACCCTAGGTGTATAAAAAATGAAAAGAATGACCTCAATGTGAAAAATAATGTAGAGAAATGGAATTTATTCATTGAAAAAAGAACATCAGAAGGACATCAGAAGGAAGAACATCAGAGGTCTGAATCATCAGATTTCTCTGGATTTTCACCAAGACACTTGACGATTTTGTCTATTTGCAAACGCTCTTCCTCTCTAACCATTGTTTCAGGCACTCAACACAGCATTTTCTTGGCAAAAACTAATAAAACTGACTGAAACGCGCGTTTAACGCATGTACTCGCGCGCACGATAACTTGAGTAAACATGACCTATAAACTCAAAAGTTGTCCCCTAGTTGCTCGGTAATGCCGATTGGCAACATTTACTTTTTGATCTCCATAAAACTGCGTAATAATGCTGTAATGATTCTGATTGGCTATCGAAAAACTACAAAAAGCAACCTAACAGCATGAATTTTCCCAGCCCATCAGCACCACAGGGCAGCCAACCACCGACCAGCGAAAGTGGTGACCTCACCGGTGACCCTCAGACCGATCAACCCGACAAAAAAGCGTTTTTTTACAGTTGGCAGCCCTGAATTGGGGGTGGGGGAAAATTTATTCATATCCGCTATACCGACGCCGATCGGCATAAACAACCACATCAAAAAATCATCTACATCCTGATTTAAAAAAAATAAAAAACCAAATGTTGCCAATAAGCATCATTGAGCAATAAAGGGTTGAATTCTTCCTGTACGGTCTCAAGCAGAGTTTGTAACCTTAGCGGTACGGTCACAAGTGTAACCCTGCATCGGGGTGAAAATTTTTCTTCTTCTTCGCCGTCCATCCGTCGATGACCGTCTTGATCATTTTTGCAACCGATGCCATGGTCCGCGTGCTAGACCGATACTCCATAGGAGATTCTTAACTACGGCACCCGTTTTTGAGATAGTCAAGATTCGCTCAACCGCTTTCTTCGTTTTTTTCTTCTTCGGTTCGGGTTCCGGTTTCATCATGGCTACCCTCAACTTGCGTAGACCTATTCCGAGTCTGGCTTCGAGTTTCATCGCGTTTGTCTCGGCGTATGCTGCCGCTCCTTCACACAACGACAAATCGGACGATTTGACGCATCCTCAAGCCCCCAAGCCTTGTCCGCGAGTTTGAGATCGGCTCTGTTCCTCTTGGCGGTGTCCCCGGTCTTGTTCTAAGTGATTTGAAACTTACAAGCTTCTTCAAGCGGGTTTAATACCAGATTGCCACGTCGCAACCGTTTTGCGACACAAGTGCCCGATCCACAGTACCAGTAGTCGCTCGGCAAGTGTAACAGTAACGGTAGCGAATCTATTAGCGAGTTCAATAGTCCATGGCTTCCTTTTGCTTTGTCACTACAACTGTTGCTGCACGTCTCGAATCTTCTCGGTGACATGCTCAGACGGATGATATCATGTTTATACGGAGAGGAAAAATCGCTCGATAAAATACGGTAATTTAAATTGACGGTACAATGCGACTCGCCAAGGAAAGAAGATCTCTTTGAATCGAAAATTTCGATGAACGGAAGAAGGAAAAGGAAAACCGTCAACAACGACGACAAAGCGAACTGCTACCCGAAAACATCCGATGCAACGTCTGCGGACCGTCCAATTATGGCAAGACGAACGTGATGATTTTCCTACCGCAACATCCGAACGTTAATAAACGATGACGATATTAGACGAAGTCATGTTTAACGCTGCTGTTTTTTAAAGCTGTCGTATTGAACGATAACGAGGAGGGTGCAAAATAAAAAACTGTAACTCATCAGATCTGGCACCTCGCGCCCACGTCGAGTGTCGGAGGCAGCGCTCGGCTTTGGTTACGTCACCATTCATCGCCGAATGTAGGTTAGGTTACTCAACACCACTACATTTAGGTTAGGTCCAAAGACATAAAGACGGAGTGCTCGTATCAAAGACATAAAGACGGAGCGCTCGTATCTAAAAGCACGGGGAAAAAGTGAAGCTAGGTTCGGCGCTGCGCGCTTGTGTGAGTGTGTAAATGAGCGCGGGAATCCATGGCGGCAAACGGAAATTTGATTTGAACTTGTCCTCTTGATTTTTGCATATTTCTTCTTCGAAACGTATTTTAAATTCCTAAAACGAATATACTAAGAAAGTTTGGTCTGCGTCCTAACATAATACACCTACTTTTGCTCAGTAACAGGCAGTAATCTCAGATAAAGTTAGTTTTTCTTTTGCTTATGGTGGTTCTGCAGGTTCAAACAGGCCGTTACAGTTCTAGATCAACGTTACTCCCAAATGAAATTAATCTGTTGACGACCGACGGAAACTAACCTAGAGTTAAAAAAATATGAGTTTGTACCTGAATTTGGGCAAAAATCAACCGAAAATACTTTGTTTCCGCAATTATTTTATTCAGTTCCCGCCCTATATTTGAATTCAAACTTGTCCCGATTTCGCCGCCAATCCTGTGGCCAATAGTATAGGTGGTTGAAAAGAAGCTTCATTTTTCGCTTTTAGCCCTCCGTCTTTATGCCTTTGGTTAGGTCATTGGACACCACAGGAGTTAGGTTATAGGTCCCATTCGATGGATCGAATCGATCGATTATCACGTGGACAAGTCGCGGTGCCTTTGCATGATGTCAACGTGGTGTCAAAAAACCGAAAATCTGAGCGTGCAGACAAGGCTTCTTGATGTCGTGCTCAGGTAGTAAAAAGTCAAAATAGGCCCTGAGCAAGGTGTCAATGATCACGGTGTCAACAAACAGACATTCTTCCTCACAATTACATACATAGGACTCACTTTTACCGCGGTCTCTGGCGCTCTGTGACGCCTAACCGCAACAAAACTCGGTCCTCCCACAACCAATCTGGGAATTGGCACTCCCTCATATATTCTAAAACCCCCTGTCGCCACCCTTTTTCCGGGCCTACCCCCCCCCCCCCCCCATC